ATCCAACTTTGAGCTAACAATTTGGGATCACATGATTGACACCACTGGTAATTAGTATTATATCTTGCACAAACAGAACAGGTGTTATCTTATTATTTCATTATAAAAAATTCAAAATAAAATAAAATTATATAGACATTCATTTAAAAGTTATAAAAAAGATAAATTTATAAATTTATTTAATTAGACAATGTGTTGTAAAAGTTATTTTATAATATAATATTTACCAGCTGTTATTATGAAGAAATAAAAAATATTTAATTAGATGATATTATAAAAATTTATTTTGTGTTGTAAAAGTTACTTACATGCTGGTTATTATGTTATTATAAAGAAAAATAAATTTATTAATTAATTGATGTTTTAATAAAAAATTATTTTTGTGTTATGAAAGTTAATTTTATAATATGATACTTACTCCCTGGTTATATAAAAAAGATTTATTAAATGATGCTTTAATAAGTTTATTTTTGTGTTAATTTATAATATACTACTTACCAACTGGTTATTATAAATAAATAAAAATAAAACTTATTAATTAGATATAAAAATTATAAAAGTTGATTTATGATACAATATAATGCTTACCAGCTGGTTATTATAAAGAATTAAAAAATTAAGTTTATTTAGTTGTTATAAAAGTTAAATTATAATATAATACTTACGCTCTTATAAAGAAATAAAAAAACAAATTAATTAATTAGGTGATGTTTATTTTGTGTTGTAAAAGTTAAATTATAATATAATACTTACGCTCTGGTTATTATAAAGAAATAAAAAACAAATTAATTAATTAGATGATGTTTATTTTGTGTTGTAAAAGTTAAATTATAATATTTACATGCTGATTATTATAAAGAAATAAAAAACAAATTATTTAATTAGATGATGTTTATTTTGTGTTGTAAAAGTTAAATTATAATATATTACTTACTATCTGGTTATTACAAAGAAATAAAAAAACAAATTAGTTAATGATGTTTATTTTGTGTTGTAAAATTTAAATTATAATATAATATTTACCCTCTGAAATAAAAAAACAAATTATTTAATTAGATGATGTTTATTTTGTGTTGTAAAAGTTAAATTATAATATAATACTTACCAACTGGTTATTATAAAGAAATAAAAAAACAAATTATTTAATTAGATGACATTTATTTTGTGTTGCAAAAGTTAATTTACAATATAATACTTACTCCCTGGTTATTATAAAGAAATAAAAAATAAATTTATTTGATCAGATGATGTTGAAGATAAAGTTTATTTTGTGTTGAAAAGTTAATTTATAATATATTACTTACCCTCTATGAAATAAAAAATAAATAGATGATGTTTTAATGAAGTTTATTTTGTGTAATAGAAGTTAATTTATAATATAATATTTACCCCCTGGTTATTATAAAGAAGTAAATTTATTTAATTAGATGATGTTTTAATAAAGTTTATTTGTAAAAGATTTATTTACCTTTATAGAATTTAGCTAAATGTTGTTTTATTTATTATAAAGCAAATATTAAATTATGATGTAAAAATCCTTTTACTATTACTATGTATTTTTAAAATAGTTATTTTCTTTGTAAGAAAAAAAAATACCTTCATTCATTTTTTTATTTGGAATATAAGAAATTTTTTGTCTGTTCTTTAGTAGTACAAAATAATTTAGAGGTGTTAATTCCAGATGATCATGGATGATCAATCCAAGCCTGTAAAAAAAATCTTATTCAGAGACAGATGTAGTGAGTGGTCTTACCCACCGACTGATTGATCACCAACTATCCAATTAGTTGAATGTAGAAATTTATAAATACTCAACCAAATAATTGGCAATTAATCTTGATAATAATAAAAATAAAGATAAAAATATTTTCACAAGATTTATTAATCCTTGTGGGAATATATATATATATTTTTAATTAAAGATTGGCATTAAGGTTTCTGGCCCAAACTGTTTTTTCAAAGCCCAAACTAGTTTGGGCAATTTGGGCTTCTCAACATTTTTTATAAGCATGAACATTAAAAAACTATATGAA